AAAGTGCTTAGGTAAGTTTTAAATTAGAGAAAAAGTTTCATGAGTTTATGTAATTTTTTTCGAAAATATTTATTATGAAATGATAAAATTAGAAAGATGTCCTTATATAATTGCTACTAAAGACATATTTTAATATTGAATAGTTTATTGACCAATAGTTAAATGTAATTATATAATATGGAGTATATTTCTTTTTTCCAAAACGAAATATTACGATTATAATTACAAATTAAATAATATCTATGAAAAATATTATTTAACAAATAATTTTCGTTTTTGTATGTACAAATGGTGAATTCTTCTTTCGTCAAGTATTGTAGAAATCGAATGTAAAGATATAAACTTTTATTAATATTTACTTAAGAACGAAGAAGAGAATACTTACGCACGTGTGATACAGCAATAGTAAAATAAGATTTTTTTCTTCAAAATTAAATGATATCTTCAATAATTCGAAAATCTTCTGTGATATTTATTCGAACACATGTGAAATATATATCACTTCGAAAATATCCAAAATTATTCTATTCTCGAAGCAGTACGTCTAGTAAGTATTTCGAAATACAAATTTGAACATGTGTAAAATAAGCACGATTATAAAACAGATTAAATATCAAGTTTAATTCTCGACATCTAGCGACGTTGTTAAAAAAAATAATAAGTCGCTACTTATTGATGATTTTTATAAAAGAATTATTTAAGAAGAATAGCAAATGCAGCGTCAATGCGTAATAATATGACTCACTCTCAAAACAACGGAACTGTTTTTTTTTGCCATGTCATGTAAAGAATGAATTTCTTTGAGTAAAGAAAGGCGATTATAGGAACACATGGTAATCATATGAATGTTGACTGATATGACGCAGAGAGTTTGTTTTTTCTAAGAGCAGAATTTTGCATCGTCATCAGCGTTATATAACTTTGTTTTCTGTTGTTCTTGTCTTTATATGCATATATATATACATTCAGTATTCTATTCCTTTTTTATTTTAAATTAAAAAAAAAAAAAAGAAAAACAATTGAGAAAAACATTTCGCATACAAAAACAAAAACAACAGCAACAACAGCCAATACTTCTGATTCGATTGTGAAATTTTACAGCTGTTTTATTCGGTTCGATAATATAAATGTATGTAAAACTCATCATAATTAGTGAAATTATTCATTTTTTTTTCTGTAAGAATAATAAAAAAAAAAAATATCTTTTCTCTTAATTTTTTTTGTTAAATTTAATTATTTTTCAAAGGTTGTTATCGAGGTATTTTCACCTTTGTACTGTATATTAGACAATAGATAAAGCGAAGTACATTATCAATGTGTTGTTCTGTCTAAAGGTCTCGATAGGAGAGCGAAGGAAAGGAAGCCGACTATCTTCTCTTATTTTTTACTACATGACTGCCAAAAACTGTCTAGCAAATTCTAGCAGACATATGTGTATTCTGTTTTCCGCGAAACAATCTATGGACTTGTTGCCCTTCTTACTTTCTTGATAAACATCGACAGCCATGGTTCTTTCATGGTATATCGAAAGGTACAAACGTTGAAAGAGCATACACATATAAGAAAAGAAATATAAAAAGAAGATAGTAAAATGGTTGAAATTTACTCGTATAGGAATAATTAAAGACTAAAATAAAACTTAGTTTATAATGAAAGTACGATAGAAATGAAAAAAAAAAAGAAATTCTTTTATTCATTTTTGCAGAAAGTCTAGTTTTTGAAAAATCATAAAATGACTTAATACTACTTCCTATCAACTTATGATTCATATCATTTCAAACATTGTTCTTCTTATGTTGATAAGAAAGATAAAGATAATAAATATACAATACAGTTAAAGTTACACAATCATATATCATCTTTTCTTTTTTGTTATATTATAGAATCTATTATGCTGAAAAGTGAAACAAAAGTTATACCATTTAATAAAGTACAAGGTGTAGCTTCAACAAATGTTCATGCATATTCAAATGGTGATGGAGAGTTCTTTTCTGTTGAACGTCATTATTTACATGGAATATTTATGGGTTTTAAATGGCAATGTGTTGAATTTGCACGTCGATGGTTATTAATGCGTAAAAGTTGTATATTTCCACCTGTACCACATGCTGCTGATATGTGGAATGATCTAAAATATGTTGAACGTGTTACTGATGGTAAAAAATTTCCAGTTAAAGTATTTCCAAATGGTTCACCACATAAACCAAAACCTGATTCATTATTAATTTATGCACGTAATGATGAATTAACATTTGGTCATGTTGCAGTTATATGTGATGTTGTACCTAATTTTATTCGTATAGCTGAACAAAATTATATTTATCATAGTTGGTCAGATAACTATGCACGTGAAATTCCTTTAATTATTAAAGATAATTGTTATTTTATTGAAGATGAAGATGACATCTGTGGTTGGATTGAAATCGATGATAATGATGAATTACAACCATTAGATGAAACAAGACTTGATACAATATTAAAACAGTATCAAGAAGCTACACCCATAGGCACATTAAACCGTTGTTCAATAACAGATAAAGATTTTCATTCAATTAATAATTGGTTAAATGAAGATGATCCAGCAGAAAAATATTTCATTCAATTATATGGACCAAATTTAATACGTGCTAATACAGATACATTACCTTATTATAAAGTTGATCAAAATTTCGCATTATCTGTAGGTAGTACATCAAATGAATTACATGAAATGTTTATGGATGCAACAAATTATGTTATTGAAAATGATGATGTATTAAGAAATTTTTGTATACCAGAAATTTTCTGGCCCAAACTTCGTCAATCATGGTTACATGAAAGAGATTTAATGATGACTGGACGTTTTGATTTAGCATTTGATGGTCAACAATTAAAAACTTTTGAATATAATGCTGATAGTGCATCAGCATTATTTGAAATGGCTATTATACAAGAAAAATGGGCAGAAGCTGCTAAAATTGATCATACATTTATGTCTGGATTTCAATTACATCGTTTATTAGTTAAAAATTGGCAAAAAGTTTGTTCACATATAAATATAAAATATGTTCATTTATTAATTGATAATGATCCAGATGAAATTTTAACATCACTTTATATGCAACGTGTTTTAAAAGAAGCAAATATTGAATCAAAATTATGTATTTTATATGATAATTTATATTGGAAAGATTCAAAAATAATTGATAATGATGGTAATGAAGTACAATTAGTATGGAAAACATGGATGTGGGAAACTGTTTTTCATGATTATTTACAAGCTGAACAAGATGAAAGTTTAAATAAAAAAATAAATGGTGAACATCCACGTTTATGTCAAATTGTATTAAATGATCATATTAAAGTTATTGAACCATTATGGAAAGTAATACCAAGTAATAAAGCAATATTACCTATTCTATGGTCAATGTTTCCTAATCATCCACATTTATTACATAGTGAATGGACATTAACAGATGATTTAAAACAAAATGGTTATGTTAAAAAACCAATTGTTGGTCGTTGTGGACATAATGTTACTTTATATGATGTTAGTGGAGATTCTATTCTTGATGAAACAAAAGGAAAATTTGTTGATAGAGATGTAATTTATCAAAAATTATTTTCATTACCAAAATATGAAGATTATTATGCTATAATTGGTAGTTGGATTGTACATGGATTATTTGCAGGATTTGGTATACGAGAAGATAAAAAATTAATAACAGATGCAGAGAGTCCTGTAGCTGCTTGTTGTATAGTATGGAAATAAAATAAATCAGATTACTATTTGGCACCTATTTGTTTTTGAAATAATTTCACGAATGTTTAAAAGAATGTTCCATTTGTTTTTTCTTCCTTTAAATTTTTTTTTGTCGTGTGTTTACATGTCAAATATATTTTAAAATTTCCATTCGAATACAAAAACAAACAAAAAGATGTTTGAGTTATAGCTGAATATGAAGATATTCGGAATATGTCACAATAAATCGACTGTTATAATGATTGTGTTATGTATTGAAGATAAAGTTGAGAATGATGATGATATTGAAGAAAATTTAGTATTTTTTCTAGCAAAAAAAAATTACAAATAAAATTACAAGAAAGAATTTCTTTGAATATACGAATAAAATAGAAATTGAGGTACTATGTCTAGGATTAGTACAGTGAGTAATATGGATTTTGAAATAAAAGATACGTAAACGTATGATGAATATCCTGAGACGGAGTAAACAAAAGAGAGAACTTCGAAATGAGTTGATTTAAGATGAAACTATTAAAATAAATCTGTTATTATTATTTTATCCTTCCAATGAACTTTCGAAAGTAAGATATGTCCAGAAGTTTTTATTGAAGAAGATATTCACTTTATACTTATTCTTCTTTTAATGAAACCTCATATTTTTGTTGTAGAAGATTATTTTTATTTTTCGGATCATTACCTTTTGATTTTAATGTTTTTACGTTAATTCTCTTGAAATCCTTCATCATCAGTTAATGATACATCTGATGAATAATCTGTATTAGTTTTACGTTTTGATCTTGATAATTATTCTGTAAGAACATTTTCGATTATGATAATAGTTGGTTTTCTGATATATAAAAATGATTGATTAGTGGAAACAAATTTAAAACAAAATATCATCTACTATGTAGCTGTTCCTTTAGGTGAACTACACATTTTAGATCGAGATGATACACAAGAATTTCTATATGACATATAAAACGTTGTCGTTTGATTTTAATAAAATTAAAATAATATTTTATTTTTTTTCAATTAACATACATTCTATGTGTCACTGTAATTCATATAAATTTAAATCAATCTGAAACTAATATAATATATAAATTTTCTGAAGATTTCGTCAGCGAACTGTTTGGCAATAATTATATACGAATAGAAAATTGTAAAATATAAATATAGGGTTTCTTAAAAGTCACTATCCAAAAAAATTATTATCCGAATTTAGGGAAATAATCATGGATAGAAACATACAAAAAAAACAGCTTCATGTATTAGTCAACCTTCAACAACAAATTCAAATGTTTGACACTGTAAAATCTTTATTTTCTATCTAAAACAAACCAAAGTTAATATGTTGTTCTATTTTTCATTATTTCACAAATAATCAAATAATTCTTCAATTGTTAAACGCTTCATTCTATTAATATACTGGTTGTTTAAGAAAAATATATAATACTGTAAGCTACCTACTCAATAGTATCTATTATTTGTATTCTTGTTACTAGGACGATATAAATAGAAGTTATTCAATTTCTCATTTCTTTGTCTATTTGCATAAAGAGTTCCTTTTTAATTAGATTTTGGTCACGTATTTATCAGAAATAGCATTTGCGTCTATGATGTCGCGACACTATAAAGTTCATTCTTGACATAACTATACTCTAAAAAAAAAACAAGTACAAAGGTCAACATTTTTCATCAGTAGCATAAGCTCTAACTTATAATTACTTTTTCATCTCAAAAAAAGTCTTCAAGAAAATAATTACTAAATAAAAACATGACATATGACGAAGTATCTGTCATAGATAATAAAACAAACGACTAACATCAATGGTGATATCTTATTAAAAATCTAAAAATATTTTTCTTTTCTGCAGAGTTTCATTCATATGACAAATCTTGATTACTTAATCAAATCAAAACTAATGATTTATAAAGACTTTATTGACATCATCAGAATGTTATCTATCTTTCGTCGATTTATAAATTTAAATTAAAGAAAACAATCTTTAATCAATACGAGTATTTCTAATTAATTTTTATATGAAAAGAAAAGGAAATAATAACTGTTTAGAACAAACAGGATGTTCATAGTAAAATTTTCTATGTAATTGTGTTTTCGATGCAAATGATAATTGAAATCATATTGTATCTTGTCCAACTAAATTTACATATTTCAATGAATAAGCCAATTGTTTACACTTATTAAATTTGTACTCGTCTACCTGAGAAAACTAAATATGTCACTTTCGAAGGATTTTAAAAGTCGAGAAAAAAATATTTATTTTATAAAGTGTTTTTGCATTGATTATTTCATTGGAAGAAATTTTTCAAATCGTCTACCAAATAAGATTGTTAAGTTCAAAATACTGAAAAATTAGGGATGCACCAGTCCCAGTTCTGACTGATGAACTGGGTCCCAGTCGGACTGGACACCCAGTCCGACTGGATACCCAGTTCGACTGGGACCCAGTCATTGACTGGGTGTGGGTGTTGTTTGGATGGATATGGGTGTGGATGTTGCTTGGATGCGGGAATAGTTAGAATGGCAATAACGACACCCATACCAACGTCAAACCAACCCCCCACACTCACACCCTTAGAAAAGAGGGAAGTACCGATAGATTAGCGGAATAAACGTCAAATGACCAAGTACCCAGTCGGACTGGGTATCCAGTCCGACTGGATACCCAGTCCGACTGGGACCCAGTTACTGGCATTGGTGCACACCTATGAAAAATGTCAGTTGATAGTGCATATTTGATGTTTTTCAGTATAATTGCCTGGAAGAAAACCTTCCGACTCTAATACTTCGGATTATTCTATAGTATACAAAGGTTTAGCTTCTCATTAGGACAGAGTCGAAAACAATTTATCCTATGTTTGGGCTATGGCTGGCTTTTTTCATGGAGTGTCTCTTAAGAGCTATTAATGAAAGAAAATTGATCGATATCCTTTCCACCTTGATTCTGATTTTCAATTAGAAAAAGATTAGTACGCGATTATTCTCTCTATTGCCAATGTTTTTCGTCTCACGAAAAAACAAATTTATAGTACCCTATATAAGGACTGTTTCTCAATTGCGAAAGCACAACAATATCAAAATGAAGTACTGTTTAGCTATTGTCCTGGGTTTTGTCGTGCTATCATGCAATGCCCATGTGATACATCGTAATGAAGAGACAAATCAGGCTCCAGCAACGGGCGCGCCAAATTTGTTCAATATACCCAATATATCAAGAAACGATCGAACGGACATTAATCTAGTCGAAGGCGACATTGCAGTACCAGCAGATGACGGCCGCATCGCGTTTACGCAGTTTGGACCATGGACTGGTGGTATTGTCCCTTACGAGCTTCATAATTATTTTTCGGCTGCTCATAAGAATATGATCACCGACGCAATGAAGAAGATCAGTGAATTAACTAACAATTGCATTCGGTTCGTTGCTCGGGGTAGCAATCGAGCCTGGTTAAATATTTATCCTGGCCAGGGGTAAATCAATGCATATTTTTTCTTTGAATCATGTAAACCGAATAAATCATAAATGTATACATTGATTATAGATGTTGGTCGTATATGGGCCAAACTAAGACCAGTGGTGCTCAAGATTTTTCACTTGAATTACCTGGATGTATTGACAAAGGAGTAATATTACACGAACTCCTACATGCTCTTGGTTTTGCTCACGAACAAACTCGACCAGACAGAGACCATTATGTCAGAATCAATTATCAAAACATTTTGAGTGGTACTTACGAATAATGTAATTTTACAATCAGGATTATGTATGTTTATTTATTAAGGACAAGAACATAATTTCGAACGCTATGCTGCTAATCAAGTTGATATGTTCGGAACAGCTTACGATTATGGTGAGATTGTTTCTGATCCATCATAGATTCAGAATCACTGTAATTCTACTTTTTAATGTTATAGGATCAATTATGCACTATCGAACTGATGCATTTTCACGCAATGGCCAACCAACCATCCAAGCAACTTATCCTGGTTACGAGGGTTGGGATGCATATATGGGACGCGGCAGCGCTTTGAGTGATCAAGATGTGATGAAACTGAAAAAATACTACAAATGTTCGTAACCATACACAATTCTATTTGAATAATAATTGAAACCAGTTGACAAATATCAATAAAAAGATCTTTATTTGTTCACTCGAGAATCTAAGACTTAATGAGTTGCATTTGAGCAAATCAATGTAAAAACTACAGTGATCAAGAAGGTCCAACTCGTTGTCTATAAATTTGAGATTGATTCATAGACATTCAGCAAAACCTTATTTGAATGAAAGACGTTTGTCTCTTTCTATTGACGTATATCTGAAATAATGGTCATCTTAAAACGATAAATACGTCACAGGACAGTGTTAACGAGCATGCTCTCAAGAAGCTATTAACACAGTTAAAAAAATTTTAACTTTTTCCTCTCTCTCTCTCTGTTTATGCCTTGAAAAAAAAGGGAAAAAAAAAAAAAAAAAAAAAAAACAACGGTTAATCGAGGTCACTGAAAAAAGAAATAATGCCAATGTTATAAAAATGCACTATAATGGATAGTATGAGAAAATAAATAAGCATGGCACTCTTTCGATGCATCCAGTATCATCTTTAATCATGATCTTTTTTTATTTCACCATACATGTTATACGTGGAAGTGTATAAACAATCAGCACCCACTTGCGAAGAATCAATAATTTTGTCACAGGCATGCATGTTTCTTATTTTCTTTTCGTAGACTTCATTTGATGTATAGATTCATCGGATCTCCGTGAATGATGTTGTACGAACTACGAGCCGAAAGAAAGCACAGTTGTGCACCAGCATAAAATTTCCATTGTAGTGGATTCTGCTGAGTTCTTGACAGAAAGGGATACAATAGATATTGTCAATGCAAAATGTATGCATTTAAAGGCAACGAAAACAATTCTCTTACTTCGAAACTATCTGAACTGTTCAAAAGAATTTTGATATACTCCTACACATGTGTCAATTAGTGACGATGATCATA